CCCCCAGAATTGGCTGGGGGGGGGAAGGGGGGGGTGAGGACACCCTGGGTCCCTCAGGGCTCCAAGGTGGGGGGGGCGAGGCCACCTCAGGACCCCCAAAGCCTTAACCCAGGAGGTCAGGGTCACCCCCAAACCCCCAAGATTGGGGGGGTGGTGGGGTGGTGTCACCAAGGACATCCCAAGAACCCCCCCAAATTCTAAAGTGGGGGGCTGAGGACACCCCACCACCCTCAGACCCCCAAGATGGGGGCAGGGGGGTGAGAGGGGTGGTCATCAAGGACTGAGGACATCAAAGACACAAGAGACCCCCCCCCAAGCTCTAAAATGGGGGGCTGAGGACACCCCACCGCCCACAGACCCCCAAGTTGGGGTGGGGGAGGGGGGAGGACACCAAGCCCCCTCCCCCCCAAGCCTGGAGATGTTTGAGGAGCCCAGAACCTGGGGGAGGCAGCAGGACCCCCCCAACCCCCCGAGATTGGTCCCAAAGAGGTTCAAACCCCACCCCAAGCCCCCCCAGAGTGGGTTTGGGGGGCCGAGGGGGGGGAGGGGGTGCTAGACGGGCAGGATCTGCTCCAGGAGGGTCTTGGAGGCCGGTGGGATCCTGTCAGGGAACTTGACCTCGAACTCGATGATGAGGTCCCCGCGCTGGTCGGGGGAGCGGGGGAAGGGCAGCCCCTCCCCCGGGATGCGGCGCTTCACCCCCGGCTTCAGCACGTCCTTGAAGACCATGGGGATGGTGCGGCCGTCCAGCGTGGGGGTGTTCACCGTGCAGCCACAGAGCGCCTGGGGGGGACCCACCCGTCACGACCACGGCACCCAGACCCACCACCCAGACCCACCACCCCCCAACCACCCGCCGTGCTCCTACCACCCAGACCCATCCCCAAGATCCACTACCCCACCATGTTCCTACCACCCAGATCCACTACCCACCGTGTTTCTACAACCACCGTGTTCCTGGACCACCCAGGGGGTCCCCATGATGGTCCAGGACATCCCTTTGTGTCTTCCTTCCCCATCCCCAGGTTGACTTGGGCACCACCCGGGATGTCCCCGTGTCCCCCTCAGCCCCGGGATGGCTCCGGGCCCACACCCAGCACCCCCAGCTTTCCCGGGCGTGTGACAGCATCCCCCCGGGGGGGTCACCTTGATGAAGGCGTAGCCGGCGCCGTTGTCGGTGATGGTGAGACCCAAGGCCTCCTCTGACTTGAAGACCTCGACCTCCTTGCGCTGGCCCTTGGTGTGGGCGAAGATGAAGTCCTCCAGGCCGATCTGCCCGCCCAGCAGCTTCTCCATGTCCACCTTGTGGGTGTTGAGGGTGCAGAACATCACCTGGCCAGGGGAGGGGGACGGTGGTGGCATCAGGACCCGGGAGGGGGGGCACAGCTGGGGACACGCTGGACCCCCCACGGGACACGCAGGACCCTCACTTTGGGGGAAAGATAGGACCCTCTCCCTGGGGACACTCGGGTCTCCCGTGGGGACATCCCCCGGGGGACAGGTAGGACCCCTCTCCCTGGGGACACGTGGGATCCTTCTCCCTGGGGACACCAGGACCCCCCCTGGGGACACGAGGGACCCCTCCCCTTGGGGACACACAGGACACAGGGGACCCCTCTCCCTGGGGACACCAAGACCCCCCCATGGGGACATCCCGTCCCCTCCCAAGGGACACGCGGGACCCCTCCATGCTCCCCTGGGGTCCCCTCAGCCCACGCCCCTCCCCCACAGCCCCCCTGTCCAAGGGGTCCCCTCCCCCTCTTCCCTGGGGGTGTCCTCAGTGTTGTCCCCCCCCAAAACCCCTCCAGGCCCCTGAGGTCCCAATGTCCCTCTGACCCCCAGCACCCAGGGGTGCCCCCAACCCCCTCTGGGTGCTCCCCCATGCCCCCAGCACCCAGGGGTGCCCCAAACCCCTCCAGGTGCCCCCTCCGCACACCCCCAGCCCCCAGGGATACCCCAAGCCCCTTCCAAGTGCCCTGCCGCTGAGCCCCCCCCGGGTGCCCCCACCTCTCCGGGGGGGATGCGGAAGGCC